CCTGGATCTGGGACACTGGGATTTGGGATCACCCAACAGGAATGGGATGGGAAGGCCGTGGCTCTGGGACACCGGGATTTGGGATCACTGGTTAATGGGATGGGAAGGCCGTGGCTCTGGGACACCGGGATTTGGGATCACCCAACAGGACTGGGATGGGAAGGCCGTGGCTCTGGGACACCGGGATTTGGGATCACTGGATGGACACAGAATGGGAAGGCCGTGGCTCTGGGACACCGGGATTTGGGGTCACTGGTTAATGGGATGGGAAGGCCGTGGCTCTGGCCCCCCTGGGCTCACCCACCCTCGGCTGCCGGCGCTGGACGTGCGCCGCTGGAGGAGGGATTTGTGCTTCTCCTGGGATTTCATGACGGCCGCGTGCTTGTGCTTCAGCTCCAGCAGCTTGGCCCGCACCTCCTCGTCACCACACACGTCTGGGACGACACCCCGGGGTCATCTGGGGTCACCTGGACCCCCCCCAGGGCCACCCCCTCATCCCCCCAAAATAAAACCAACACCCACCCAGGGGCGTCTCGTCCAGCAGGGATCTGGCGCCCAGGTCGGCGCCGTGGGCCACCAGCAGCTCCACCAGCTGCACCTGGAGGGGGGAAAAAACGGGGGAAAACGGGGAAAAATGGTGGAAAAACTGGGAAAAACGGGATGGGGGGAGGAGGGAAGAGAGGGAGGTCACCCAGGAGGCCCCGGGGACGCAGCTGAGGAGCGAGGCAAGGCCCGGAGAGCAAAGGTCGTGGGGCAGGGTGGGAACCAGAGGGGGGGTTTAGAAAGCAAGCCCTGAGCAGGAGCACAGAGAGTTTGGGTTTGGAAACAGCAGAGGCAATAACTGATCAGGATTATCAATTTATCAATAAGCAGAACACGCTGACAGGGAAGGACAGAAGCACACGGGAAAACAGAGAGAACTAAAAATGGGATGGATCTGGGACACTGGGATTTGGGATCACTGGATGGAAATGGGGTGGGAAGGGCCTGGATCTGGGACACTGGGATTTGGGATCACTGGATGGAAATGGGGTGGGAAGGGCCTGGATCTGGGACACTGGGATTGGGGATCACCCAACAGGAATGGGATGGGAAGGACCTGGATCTGGGACACTGGGATTTGGGATCACTGGATGGAGATGGGATGGGAAGGACCTGGATCTGGGACATTGGGATTTGGGATCACTGG